CACTGGGCTGGAATGCAATGGTGTTATCTCAGTTCACTGCAACCTCCACCTCTTGGGTTCTAATGATTCTTTTGCCTCATCCTCCTGAGTAGCTGGGACTACAGGCACATGCCACCACATGTGGCTAATTTTGGTATTTTTAGTAGAGACGGGGTTTCATCATGTTGGCCAGGCTGGTCTCAAATTCCTGACTTTGTGATCCACCTGCCTCAGCCTCCCAAAGTGCTGGGAATGCAGGTGTGAGCCACTATGCTCAGCCAGAAATTTGTCTTAATGGAATAGTTTTGTGAAAAAAGAGAGAGGAAGCTGAGCATGGTGGCGTATGCCTGTGATCCCAGCTACTTGAGAAGTCAAGGCGGACGGATTGCATGAGGTCAGGAGTTCGAGACAAGACTAGCCAATGAGGTAAAACCCTGTCTCTACTACAAATACAAAAAAAATTAGCTGGGCGTGGTGGCACGCAGCACCTGTAATACTAGCTACTTGGGAGGCTGAGGTGGGAGGATCACTTGAACCCAGAGGCGAAGGTGCAGTGAGCCGAGATCAGACCACTACATCCAGCCTGGGTGACAGAGTGAGACTTCATCTCAAAAAAAAAAAAAAAAAGAGGGGAGAAATATGTGAAGCAACAGGATAACCCCAACATTGTCACAAACCCTGAACTAAGCAGCTGGTGATTATACCTGGTGCTGGGATAGGCATGGCCCTGCCCTAATGGAATGTTCCTGACACACTTATTGCCTGGCTACATCTACCCCCACACAGTGCACCTGCAAACTGCAAGTAGTTTGTATAATATTACAGATTAAATGGGAAAGCTGCACCTTCATAAAACATGGTAAGTACTACAAGTACTTATCATGCCTACTACAAGTACTTATCATGCCTACTACAGAGACCCACAAACCAGGCACTGGAGTGGAAACTAAAACCAGTCAGGACGGCCCCTAAGCACCTGAGCTCCATGACTGCTTCATTCCCCAGTGGCTTCCCACAAGCCTCAGAAGTTCAAAGGTGACCCTCCAGGCTCCAGGCAAGCTCACCTTGCCTGCCTCTCCCATCCCATTACCATCACCTCCCACCCAGCCAGGCTCAACTCCTAGCACTTCCCAGGTTACACCAAGGGTGTTCCAGGTGCCTTTGCATCTGTAGTTCTCTGCCTGAAGCTGCTTTCTTCCTTGACGTGTGCTGGCAAACTCACACCCTCCCTGTGGCTCTGCACCAGGGCCTGCCCTCTGCAAAGTCTTTCTTCGCCCACCATTCTGACTCAGGCATCCCTGCTTTGTGGTTCCAAAGTAATCATGCAACCCCAGCCACTACTCCAGATGTTCCTTACAGGCTACCCAGGTATCCACCACTCATCTGAAGAGCCTTGAGTGCACAGATTGGGTCTTTCAGCTGTACCCCAGTAACCACTGCCCATCTGGGGCACAGCAAGAACTCAACTGGTGATGACTACAAAACAACTGAAAATCAGAATTGGGTACTGGGACAAAATCTATGAAAAGCACCTTATACTTCTGAACTGCTTGAATTTATCAGGTGCATTCAGTAAATGTAAATAAGTATATAAAATACAAACTATCTTCCTGGGAATGAGTTCCTTACACAACTTTTCCACTCCAGAAATTCTTCACACCCCTGGGCATGGATACAGTACAGATACACTGGCTCCCATTTGCAAGACTAATTCTGTTTTCTCTTCCTCTTCAAACTCTTGACATTCAAAAAACTGGAAAGGCAACTCCCCATTGTATTAACTTACAGTGCCTTCAATCATTGTGCCTCTCTCCCCAAAGCCTCGTCCAGATCACTTTCCAACAGACCAGTATTCTTCATAACACACCAGAAGCCAGCTGTACCTGTCAAAACCAGAGTTTTCTACATTCCAGAGTTCAAGCAGTTTCTCCAAAACTAAATTATAGCTGTCTTCTTTGAGTCTAGTAATGAGTGCCTTCTAGCTTAGAAGATTTTTTTATTGCATTTTAGGTTTTGGGGTACATGTGCAGAACATGCAAGATAGTTGCATAGGTACACACATGGCAGTGTGTTTTGCTGCCTTCCTCCCCTTCACCCACATTTGGCATTTCTCCCCAGGCTATCCCTCCCCAGCTCCCCCCCGCCGCTGTCCCTCCCCTATTCCCCCCAATAGACCCCAGTGTGTAGTACTCCCTTCCCTGTGTCCATGTGTTCTCATTTTTCATCACCTGCCTATGAGTGAGAATATGCGGTATTTCATTTTCTGTTCTTGTGTCAGTTTGCTAAGAATGATTTCTTAGCAAATAAAACCCGTTTTATTCAGACAATCTTATCAATCAGAAAATCTCAGAAACTCATCTCTTTGTTGTATTTTTAAATAATAATCTTGCAAAGAAACCATATGTTGTTTGAAAAGGCATTAATTCTTAAATTTCAGACATTTTTAAGTATTTACCCATCTCTCACTTTTCTTCTGAAATGTTTTAATGTTTATTCTTCTCTAAGTTCTTCACTCAAGTTTCTTGCAGTACTTAATAAAAATTACAGTCATTAGCTTTAAGATATAGGTAAGTGGGTGGCAAGTGAGAATCACAAGGTTCTAAATTTAAAGAACGTCTAGTTGAAGGAAAATGCCAACCAAGACTTGTCACAATATGGAAAGCACTATTCAGTTACGATGAAATATGAGAAAGTTTTAGGAATGTGTTTTAAACTAACTTTTGAATTGGATTTTTATTTTAGAGGGCTGCTTGTTACTAAACATCAACCAAAGGTGGGGACAGGGGTGGGGAGGAGGATAGGGCATGTCAGAGCCAACTTGAAAAAGCTCCCAGAGGCCAAAGCTGGAACAATTTGAGCAACAAAATATCAAGAGTATTGGATTATAACCTAAAGGACAAAATAAATATCCAAAAGCCTATACTGATGCAAATGAATGATTGAATAAATAAGTAAATGGGGAAAAAGGGGCAAATGTTCCTTAGAGAAGAATTCCAAATAATACAAGTATAGAAACGAGGGAAATGGAAAGTCACTATTTTTATGCCACATAACAGATGCTGCAGATGAGACCTAAGGATGACCCTAAAATTCGTGGGCAAAACTCTAAGGAGAAACAGGGTATTTGCAGGGTCTCAAACTATCTTCTCCAAAATACTTATTAATTACCATGGTGCCTTTAACGAGTGTCCAAAAATTCCTTGATACTCTTTTCTCCAAGAGGTGAAGCTTAATTCCCTGTCCTTGATTGTGGTCTCAACTTAGTGGCTCACTTATCACTTACAAGGAACAGGGGATGAAAAAGGAAAACTAGAGGCCATGTGTGGTGGCTCACCCCTGTAATCTCAGCACTTTGGGAGGCTATGGCAGGAGGACTGCTTGAGGCCAGGAGTTCAAGAACAGCCTGGGCAAGAGAGCAAGACCTCCACCTCTACAAAATAAAAATAAATTAATTAGCTGGGCATGGTGGCATGCACCTCTAGTCTCAGCTACTCAGAAGGCTAAAGTGAGAGGATCGCCTGAGTAAAGGAGTTTGAGGCTGCAGTGAGCTGTGATTGTGCCACTGCACTCCAGCCTGGGCAACAGAGCGAGCCTGTCTCCAAAATAACAAAAAGAAAAAATTAGAAACTTTATCGAAGAGAAAGCTGCCAGATATCATCTAATCAAGTAATCAAGGTTAATATCAGCAGTAATAAGTCATGTTGAGATCATAAGATATAATGATATGATCTAATGAGGGGGCCACTTCACCTCTGTGGTCCTCTTCCCAACAATCTTTTTTCCAGAGACAGGGTCTCGTTCTGTGGCCCAGGCTGGAGTGCAGTGGTGCAATCATAGCTCACTGCAGCCTCAAACTCCTGGGCTCAAGCAATCCTCCTACTTCAGCCTCCTGAGTAGCTGGGAATATAGGTGTGTGCCAACACACCAGCTAATTTCTCTTCCTAAAAATCTATAATCCTAGTCCAATCATAAGAGAACAGACAAATTCAATTGAGAGATGCACTACAAAATATCTAATCAGTAGGCTACAAAAGTGTCAAGGTCATGAAAAACAAGGAAAGATGAAGAAAATACCAGGAAAAGGAGAGAAAGGAGACAAATGGAGAAGAAGAAGACAGGCTGACCAAGTGCAGCAGAATGCAATGAAATCTTGGATTTGATCCTGAAACAAACGAAAAGGACATTAGTAGAAAAACTAAGCAAAACCAATTAAAGGCTGCAGTTTATCATGTCGTACTTATGTTTCATTTCCTACTTCTGACAAATGTACTGCAGTCATGCAAGATTAACATTAGAAGTAGCTGGGTTAAGCACATAAAGGAATTCTTCATAGGATGTTTACACTCATCCATGAATCTAAAATTATTTCAAAATGTAAAGTTTTTAAAGAGTCAATCTGGCTGGGCGCCGTGCCTCACACCTATAATCCCAGCACTTAGGGAGGCTGAGGCAGGTGGATCACCTAAGGTCAGGAGTTTGAGACAAGTCTGGCCAACATGGTAAAACCCCATGTCTACTAAAAATACAAAAAATTAGCCAGGTGTGGTGGTGCATACTACTTGGGAGTTCCACTACTTGGGAGGCTAAGGCAGGAGAATCTTTAAACCATGGAGGCAGAGGTTACAGTAAGCCAAGATCATGCCACTGCACTCCAGCCTGGACAAGAGAGCAAGACTCCATCTCAAAAAAAAAAAAAAGTCCATTTATCTGTCATCCTTAATAGGACATACTGCCGATATTCCACATAAATACCATTATGGACTTGTGGATATGAGACAGGAATGAGTGTATTGGGATAATTTCTTAGTAATTCTTAGCTTTGACATTTTTAATAAATTTGATGTCCCTGTGGTTGTTATATGGACCAAATATATAAGATAATGCCTTTCTTCTTAAGAAAAACTGTTTTTTCATAGTAACCTACGTATACATTATTTTCTTTATATATATATAATGTATCTATACATCACAATGCCATGTATGACTTCTTTAGCATTCTTTTGAAAAATAAGAAATGTAGGTGAACAGGGATAAAAATGTTTTAATCGTTGAAATAAATTGGTAAATCGAGTAACTTACATTGCAATACTAAGTACATACACAAGTCATTATCAAATTAAGAACTTTCCAGATAGCCCACTAACCATCCAAGTCCTTGAAAACAGTTACAGAATTAACACGATGAGACGCTGTGATGCAGAATGAGCAACCCAATGACTACGAAGTATTTGTAGTTGCATATGCCTTTCATGAAAGAAAATAAAAATGTAATCCACATGTGCCTATGGCATGCCAATTTGAGTTTATTTTTAATATTGCAATGAAATACACTGTTCCTAAAAAGGAAATTCTGACATTTAAATGAAATTTGAAAAACAAATAGTAAAAAACTGAATGAGATAGTTGTAAGAATCCATTTACCAATTTTACAGCGAAAAATTAACATGAAGTAGAAATAGCGAAAGATAACAGACAAATATATTATTTTAAGTCATTCATTTATAGTGCCTTATCATCTTAAGTTATAAATAGAATAAGGATTTTGTTATATAAAAACTATCAAAAAAGTATCAGTGAAAAGCCATGACCTCCATGGATTGTGCTGAGTGGCCAGGGTGGAAATGTTATCAAAATGCAGCAGCCCTGGCTGGGCAACAACAGCCTCCGTGACAGTTCGTTAACTTGTCTTTCGTAGGTGGCCACAGAAAGTTCCATCAACAGGTGTACTGCCTAACCAATTCCCTTCCAGTACCATAACAATATGTACCCAGGGTTTTACGTACACACTTCAGATTTGGGGGAACGAGAGAGGGAAGGGTGACTATTTAGAATTTCCTTGGAAATGTCTGTGCACATTGCAATGTCCCACGGAGCCAAATTCCTTCCAAATTGATGAGCAAGCTACAGAGACAACAGAAGAGGAGAAAAGAGTGAGCAAAGGTACAACTTAGGTCAAAAAATATATTAGCCTTAAGCCTACAAGTTATTTACTGACTTTCTTTTAAGTAAAGCACGTTTAATATTCGCCCAATATTAATTTAAGACTTCCGTGGCCACTATAGAGGTAAGCGCTAATGATAATTATATAAAGAGGCAAAGATGGGTAAGAAAAGAGACTTGCAAACTTAAAATTAAAATATATCTTGATAAGCAATACCCAAACCTAGCTGCATGTATGTTAACATCATCCAAACTAAAAAGAGAAACTGTTTAGCCACAATTCTATCCCTTCCCTACTTGGTCCAAACCTCCTGGGAGAGCCTAGCCCTCCATATTACATGGCACTCCCCCAGGAGATTCTGATGCAGCCAGTTCATCCATTGTCATCTGAGAACCATCACTTAAGCCCATCTGTGCTGGAAATACTCTGCACATCTAAGTGGGCATACCTTTCACCACAGGGTCATCTGCAGAAGAAACTACACATTTGCATCCTGACATAAGTAATTCTAAGGGTTTCTGAAATCATTTCTCAATTTGTTTCAAAATCAACAAAACCAAACCAGCTTTGAACTTTGGTCATTGCGTGAATTTAGTTCAAAGAGAGTCTACACGTTAGGTAAAAAACAAGCAACAATGAAATTGTCTCCAATCCTTTCCATCAAACATCTCTTTCCTAAAGAATAGTCTTCACATCAGAATTTCTGCCCAAGAACTAAAGCCTAGAAAGCCATGAGTTCAGACGTGTCACAGATAAGCACCACCACGGATGCTCAGCATCTACGGAAAATGCACAGCCTATCAACTTAGAAAATTTTTCAGATAATTCAAAGGAGGCTACAGAAAGACCAGGATCAAATTGATTGTTTAGAGAGAGACTTAAACACTGCATGTTCTCACTCATAAGTGGGAGCTGAACAATGAGAACACAAGGACACAAGGAGGGGAACATCACACACTGGGGCGTGCTGGGGGCTGGGGGGAAGGGGAGGGAGAGCATTAGGACAAATATCTAATGCATGTGGGGCTTAAAACCCAGGTGACAGGTTGACAGATGCAGCAAACCACCATGGCACATGTATACCTATGTAACAAACCTGCACATTCAGCACATGTATCCCAGAACTTAAAGTAAAATTGAAAAACAAATAATAAATAGATAAAATGTAAGGGTAGTAGGAAAAAAAGAGAGAGTTAAAGAATGGGGAAAACAGCTAAAGCAGCACACTCAAAGTCAAAAAAAAAGAGATGAACCTCACTGTTCTAAGAATGAAGGGCCAGCACAGCCACCACCACCCATCATGACAGATTTGGATTACACTCATTTTACAAACCAGCAGAGTTCCACATAGCATTTCTCAAAATTAAAGTCCTCTCATAAAGGTTTTCATTACAAGCATTAAAAACCCAGGAATCTGCCTTGAAAATGGACTCACTATAACAACTATTACTGGGTGATAGAGAATGAATTCTACACTTATTTGTCCTCCTGTGTTTGCATTTCTGGGATTTATCCTTGTATTTCTGACCATAAATAATTTAAATTCATTTCAAATGTTTTGGTTATTCATGATCACCTGGGCAGTATAAGAAAATGTAGCTTCTGAATATTGGCTACCCCTATGGAGCATATACTTCCTGGGATATATTAACTAAAAGCTCTGTAAGCTGCCATTTTGTAAGGTATGGAGTTTGGTATCTAGGGAATAGGCCTTATTTAGCAATTCAAATTTTATGGAGATGAATGATCAAAGTAAAACAATGTAGTAAAACAATGTTTGGATGCAATGCAGAATAAAAGAATATAAGAAATTTTTAAAAAAAAGAATGGGGAAAATTGAGAAGAGGGGTGGCAATGAAATAAAATATATTTACAGCCACGAACAGTAAGAAATGTTTTAGCTAGCTGCCTAAAGTTACATGGGCTTGCTCACCAGGATTATTGCTAAAGTGTTAGGGGCAAACTTCAGATCCACCCACAAGGGTGAGCAATCATCGTATCTAACACTCCCATGAGAAAACTGATTGAGAGGAGTTAAGGGACTCATCTTAGGTCTGTGTTGGTAGCAGAGCTACCCAGTCTCTTGATAGCTATCTAGACAGCACCCCTTTCCACTCTATTCCTATGCTTTTTGAAATGCATTCTGTTTCCAGGAGGGTAAACGACAGTATATTCTGGGTTTTGACTCACCTTTTCTATTTCATACAAATAATAGAAGTACTTCTGCACAGGAGAAAATTATTAGGGAACCCAGAAAACTATATGGAGGGCTAGAGCTATGTTAAAAATACTAGAAATAGAAAATCTCCAGTGACTTCTCAAAAAGAAACCGAACACTCTGTTTGTGGCTACTACGGGATAAACCTCCATAATGCTGCCTTGAGAAAATCTTCAAAGAAGTAGCTACCCAAAGATTGCTCTAGTTCTTGTCAGGAAGAAACTGGTAACAGTTTCTATGTCTCCTTTCCCCAGCAGGAAAGCTTGTTTGTCTCTACTGTGAAATTAGTCTGTAATCCCACCCCATCCCAAACAGAACTCCGGTACTGGCCCTGGGTAAGAAGATGCTTCAGTATCAAATCAGTTGTGCATTTGGTCTGCCAATGATTAGATTCTGGTTATCAAAAAAATTAATAGTATGGTGATGATGATAATGGTGGTGACAATGATGATGACAGCAGATGCTACCATTTATTTCATATTTAATCTTAACAACAACTCTTCAGTCTAAGTCTTGGTTCCATTTTTCAGATTACAAAACTGAGGTCATAAAGGGGAAGGAAACTGCCCGGCTAGTAAATGAGAGCCTGAATTCAAAACCAAGGCTGCCTGACTTCCAGAAGAGAATGGGCTCTCTCAGGAAATAAGACATTCCTAAACACTGGAGGCTTCAAAAGAGGTTGGATGTCATTCAGCAAGACTAAAATGCAATGGGGAGCCCAGCATCGAATGTGTTGTTACACCCCTGTTGGACCCAGTGAACTAAGATTCTTTGCCTGAATGGAAATGCTGCTCCACGTCCTTTAGAGACTGGTATGCAGGGTAGTTAATACATGAAAGCTATTTTTCTCTTGTCCTTTTTCTTGTTTGTCTTACTGTAATTCTAACTCCTAGCTCTTCGCCATGCCCATACTGAACGTGTTTTGTAAAACCAATCTGTTAACTTATTCCCTGATTCTTACTATTCCTTCCTGCATAACTACATTTCTGTTCGGTTAGATTAGAATCAATATTGTTTGGCATTTAACTGATTGATTGCCCATCTCTACTGGAGTTTTGGTACTGACACATCTCCTCTCTGTATATTAACCACTGGCTAGTACCACTTAATATTGATTCTAATGTAATTCCCAGTTCCAGCCTCTCTGGTCTCTCTCTGTCATTTCTCAAGTCCTAGGCCCTCAAAGATTTTTTGCAATGAAAAAGGGTGAGATCTCAATGTTTTAGGTAGACACTTAGGTTGCTCTTACTAAAGTTTTATTTTTAACAAAATGAAATGAAAGAAAGTAGCTGAAAAGAAAATTAATCTAATTATTTACCTCTTTGCAATAAAACACACTCAATTCCATAGGATGAGACCCATCCTTTAAATTATAAAGTGCAAGATTTCTTAGAAATATAGAGCAAATAATATCTATAGTCCATTCATCAACAAGTCTAAATATATAGAATTATTTAGAAAAATATACAGCACCTCTTGATTCTTGAGTCACGAGGTTATTTTCTTCTAATCTTAAAGAGAAAATTAAGAAAAGTTAAATGTTCAGATTATAAAGAGCATATTCTAGTTTTCTATAGAACTACACAGTAATGACATATATGTATGTGCTCGTCTAAATCACAAAGTACAGAAAGAGCAATGAGGAACAAATATAGTATGTTAAAAATAATGTAATACAGCCTTGTGTATAAAGTGAACAAACTATACATCAGACAATACACTGTACAGTGGTTTTGTAAATCGGCATTGTTTACCCTGAGCCTCACTTAAAAATTGACTTGAACAAGAAGCTATCTGTCAGTCAAAAGGTGCCTATTAGTCAAAAGGACTTCATCAGTCCAACAATCACTATTAAAACTCAGAAAATAGAACCTCATTTCATTTAACTATGCAATAGGCAATTATTTTCCTTGAAAAAGCAGATTGCTTATCAGTCAATCATCTTATATTACAGAAATTTACCTTTCTGTTCTATGAAAACTCCATAAGCTTACATAAATATTTGCTTTCATTTCCATACCCGATCATTACTGAAATTAACAAGAAATTAAAAATACGGAGCATAACCACAAACAAACGCTAAATTTTGCTCTGGAATTCTTCTTACCCTGTGGGTGGTCATTTCAACCAATGATTACAATGAATAGATGGTACTTGTACATGGCTCACTGCAGCTGATACACAGGTTAAGTAAGCCAAAATATAAATTTCACATTTTTTCATAAAACATAAAAATAAATAATTAGGGAAAATCAATAGCACATGATTTCACTTACTTTTCCGAACTGTCTTTGTTTGACTGGATGCCATATTGACAGCTTCAGATGGTAGGCCAACATATACTCCCCCATAGTTTCTTAATAAAAAGAAAGCAGACCAATTTCAATGGTACTATCTAGTTACAGAAAGCAACAGAAGCATGAAGTACTCCAAACAATTATATAATTATTAAAATAAGTCATGATTTTTCAAAAGTAGAATTTAGAGTATTATTGCCCTTGGGAATATAATTGGTTTCCCATGTTAAAAAGAAGTTTTTTTTTTTTTTTTTAAGAAACATGTATTGAGTTAGAATTTTTAGATATTTTGCTTGAAATATCTTAAAATGATATATCTAGAATTTTTAGATATTTTGCTTAAAATGAGAAAGAAGAAAAGAATTTAAGATGCTATAATTTCGTATGGTACTAAAAATCAGTAGAGTGATGTGCTACAGTTAACATTTATCAATAATTCAGATGGCTCACACCTGTAATCCCAGCATTCTGGGAAGCCAAGGCAGGCGGATCGCCTGAGGTCAAGAGTTTGAGACCAGCCTGGCCAACATGACAAAACCCCGTCTCTACTTAAAAAAAGTACGAAAATTAGCCGGGTGTGGTGGCACAGGCCTGTAATCCCAGCTACTCAGGAGGCTTGGGCAGAAGAATTGCTTGAACCCAGAAGACAGAGGTTGAAGTGAGCCAAGATTGTGCCACTGCACTCCAGCCTGGGCAGCAGAGTGAGACTCTGTATCAAAAAAATAAATTCAGAGTGGTCAATGTGGTATGATATTAGACATTATGGACACACAAAGATATCTTACTAATAGGGAGATATAAAATGAGGGCAGAGAGAGCTAGAAAGAAATGAGGGTGGAGTGCAGTGAATCAGAGAAGAAGGAGGAATGGGAGGCCAAGAGAATGAAGGGAAGCTGTCCATTTAGGAAGAAGAGCACACCCAAAGGTCACAGGATGAAAATTAGCACATGCCACATGCACAGGACAAAAACCAAGTTTGCTTGGAAGGAGCAAAGATGATGAATCCTGGGCAAGTTCTTTTTCAGATCTTATGCCCCTACTTGTATTTCTGTGCCACAGTTTTCCTGGCGGAATCTGCGCTATTGGGAATGTGCTACAGTGTGTGAAATCCATGAGGTATGGCCAAAACCATTCAAACTAAAGCCAACTGCAACGCCAAACATACCTCCTCTTGTCATCTTCTGTTATGGATTCTTCCGTTCTAAAAGGTCAGAAACATTGGCTATGAGACACTTGGTTACATAGTTGAGGACTTCATTTTTGGTTCTAAGAAAAAGGGACTACTGAGTTAAAGGTAATTTGATTTCAAATGTTTCCATCAGACTTAAGCAGAGGAGCGAAACTACCCATCAAGTGTTTCTGTGACAATATTCTGCCTTCACCTCAATCGCTCATACATTAAAACTTGGTAATTTTCTACAAACCAAAATGTGTGAATCCAGCAAATGCCAAAATGCACAACTGCCAAAGGAAATGGAAAACTGAGGGCAGCTGAAATTGGAAAGAAGCCTGAGTTCTCGTCTTGTGTATGCCACCCACTCCCTGTGTGACAGACAGGCTGTGGGTGAGCTGCCACCCTGTGTTTCATTTGTAAAATAAGCTGGTTGACCAGATGACCCCTCAGGTCTCTTCTAATCCTAATACATTATTTTAGATCTCTTATGCCAGTTCAGTGGCACAACTATAGGTACAGAAAGATTTCTTCAGTCTAAAAACAGTTAATGTCTATTTGATTTCTTTTTATCTAAAAACATGAGCCATTTCACATATGATCTATGCAAAGAGAGGGAGAAATGTTTACAAGGACACTTTTAGAGGGGATCACTACTTTAAAATGCACAGATTCTTTCCTTGAATTAAGAGGAGTCCAGGCTGGGCACGGTGGCTCACGCCTGTAATCCCAACACTTTGGGAGGCCAAGGCAGGCAATTTGAGACCAGCCTGGTCAACATGGTGAAATGCTGACCTGTCTCTACTAAAAATACAAAAATTAGCCAGGGCCTGGTGGTGCACCCCTGTAGTCCCAGCTACTCAGGGTGAGGCAAGAGAAACACTTGAACGCAGGAGGCAGAGGTTGCAGTGAGCCAAGATCACGCCATTACATTCTAGCCTGGGCAACAGATACTTGGTCTCAAAAAAAAAAAAGAGCAGTCCATATTCTACAAGAATTTTTTGACATACTTCTAAGAGAATCAGGATGCTTTCCTTGAAGCACTAGTTGGCATACATTAGTTGCTTTTCTGAAAGAAAACAAAATTCAACAAGATTCTAATGTATCCAGTACATCTGGTTAAACTCAACTTGTGATGCTAAGGGGCTTCAGTTGAGAAGAAAGCAGACTGGAAACATCTAAACATCAGACTGGAAACATCTAAACAGGCCGAGCGCGGTGGCTCAAGCCTGTAATCCCAGCACTTTGGGAGGCCGAGGCGGGTGGATCACGAGGTCAAGAGATCGAGACCAATTTGGTGAAACCCCGTCTCTACTAAAAATACAAAAAATTAGCTGGGCATGGTGGTGCATGCCTGTAATCCCAGCTACTCAGGAGGCTGAGGCAGTAGAATTGCCTGAACCCAGGAGGCGGAGGTTGCGGTGAGCCGAGATCGCGCCATTGCACTCCAGCCTCGGTAACAAGAGCGAAACTCCGTCTCAAAAAAAAAAAAAAGTTGTGAATATTTCAAATGTGACTATAAATGTGCATGAGATTTTTTGCTTTATTGCAACAGCCAGTAAGTCCAAGTCTATGAAGAAGGAAAGCGTAGATTTGACAATTATCTGGTAAATGCTGCCCATGAACAGCTAATACTGGAAGAGAGTGCAAAATCCATCTTGAGACCTAATTTATCCAGACTGAGCATATAACCTAACTTCACCAGACAGTCATCAACTTCATTTACCTCTTGTTAATGCTGGATCGTTTTTTAATTCAAAAGTGTCAAAGTCATACTAACGGTGTTATGCTTATTGATGTGGTATAAGAAGGTGTTGTTCACTAGTTTAAAATTAAAATGGATTTATAATCCTTTCATATAGATAATGGAGAAATGGCGATGACAAACTTGCTCAAGATGATCAGAACTGTTTACTTTGGTCCTGAGTGCTTAACTTTATCATGAAATCACTTGAACCTATATGTAACTGGTAGCTTATGACACACATTTCCTGCCATGACTGTTCTTTTCACATCCATTTACATATCTGTTTAATTCTTTCTCCTTTTGCCTAACTGTGCTTAAGGATATATTCAAAGTTTTAAAGTACATTTTCACTTTCCCAAATGTAAGAAAATAGTCATTTACTTTCTCCTATTAATTATTCAATTATCTTAAAACTCAATCTATGTTCTCCATCATAAAATTAATCAACAACCTTACACATACAACTGACACTAAATGATAATGTAGTTGCTATATTTATTGGATAATAAATTAAGCTTCAGATATAATGCCAAATCTTAAAAAATACCACCTATAAAGCCTTATAAGATGTCCACCCTTCTAAACCTTCTAATACATTGTAAAGCCTGCCTTTGTATACACACTCCCATGTTTAAGACTGTCACTCTGGCTGGGCGCAGTGGCTCATGCCTGTAATCCCAGCACTTTGGGAGGCCGAGGCGGACGGATCACAAGGTCCAGAGATCGAGACCATCCTGGCACTCTGTTGCTCACCAAAGATGTGATTGTTTTCTTTTCTGGTCACTACAGCTCCAGATGTAGGACAGTGACCACTGCATGGCCTGCAGCTGTGTTTGCTGATGGACTGCAAAATTTTTCCCCCAAACCAGAGAAAGAAATGGGGAGGGAGAACAGAACACAGAGCCACACCCTCCCCAGCCTTGTGAGAACAGCAGCCACTGATAGGGCCCAGAAAGTCCTTGGAAGGAGGCAGCATGGCCCTAGTTTCTACAGTCCTAATGCAGATCAGTAAGAGCAAGGAATGAGATTACTTCACCCTCTAGAATCTTCCCTTAGAGAGCAGAGCCTGGAGATTGAATTATTCTGCGCTGTGGATAAACAAAGTGAAGATGAGGGCAATTCACAGTGGATGAAACTAGAAAAGAGGTCAAACTGTCCTGCTGCACGTGATCACACTCTTTGGGAGTTAATTGGTCCAAATCTCTCTACGAACTCAGTTTACCCATAATCTTGCTCCCTTAGAAGAAAAGCAAGTGGACATACAGCAACCAGAATAAATCTCTCATAGTACCATAGTAATTTTTATTATTTATTTTTTATTTTTTTTGAGAAAGAGTCTGGCTCTGTTGCCCTGGCTGGAATGCAGTGGCACAATCTCAGTTCACTGCAACCTCCACCTCCTGGGTTCAAGCAATTCTCCTACCTCAGCCTCCCAAGCAGCTGGGACTACAGGCACACACCACAATGTCTGGCCAATTTTTGTATTTTTAGTAGAGACGGGGTCTCACCATGTTGGCAAGGCTGGTCTTGAACTCCTGACCCCAAGTGATCTGCCCACCTCAGCCTCCCAAAGTGCTGGGATTATGGGCGTGAGCCACTGAGCCCAGCTAGTAGTAATCCACTTCTAAATAATAGCCTCCTGGGGCAGGGGGCATACTTCAGGAGGCAATGCCCAGACACCCACAAGCCAAGGCACCAAAAACTGGAAAATGGGAGAGAAGCAACTTGGGGACAACAAGAGTATCTCTTAATCTACTGTATGGGGAAGAAACCTTGAGAATAAGGCTTATACCAAGAGAGACAAAATGCAGTTAGAAGAGATAAGGGATTAGGTGCCACAAAACCAAATCATCTAAAATCAAAAAGTAACAGGTGAATTCTACCAGTTTCTGTCCCACCTCTTCTGCCCTGGCCCCAAGAATTGAGGCTTATCAGGACTTCTCCAATTTCACAACCATGGAATCAAATGCTGGAGCCAATGCAGGGGAAGAGAAACTAGCCCAAATTACCAAGGGATGGAGGGTAATCTAGAAACAAGCACATAGCACATCAAGACAAAACCTGCTCTTGCCAGGGCACCTGTGCTAGATGTTAAGTCCATTAGAGAAGAGAAAGGGGAAGGAAGACGCAAGGGAAGGGACAGGAACCAAGAGCTGGGGTTTGGTCGAAACACTGTTCGCTTTACAGCTGTGACCAGAGCCAATCTCAGAAGGAAGACTGATTCCTGGAGTCCAAAGAGTGCTGGAGGAAGCCAGTGCTAAAGTATTTACATTAATTTTACTGAGCAGTGTTCCATTTTCTCGTTAAACACAAGCCACTACTCTAAAGAATAAACTTGTATGATAAGCTCATTTTTCCAGAGTATGACTGAAAACCTATCGATAAGTTGCTTTCTCTGGTATCAAGACAATGTTTTATTTCTCATCATATACACAATTGAAAACTGTGCGGAAAGTGATGCAACATTTGAAAAAATGTAAGCAAGAAATATTTTTAATCATAACCTCAAATACCATCTTAGAAAAACCTTTATTTATTTATTTATTTTTAATTATTGTATTTTTTTTTCTGAGACAGGGTCTTCCTCTGTAGCCTAGCAGGCTCAAGTGATGCTCCCACCTCAGTCTCCCTAGTAGGTGAGACCACAGGTGCACACCTCTGCACCTGGCTAACATCTATTTTTTTTGTTTCTGTAGAGATGGAGTCTCACTATGTTGCCTAGACTGGTCTCAAACTCCTGAGGCTCAAGTGATCCTCCCACCTTAGCCTCCTGAGTAGTTGGGACTACAGGCACGCACCACCACAACCAGCTAGAAAACCTCTTAAACCATGAAAACACTCCCTAAGAACCATGGAACATGTATTCACCAATTTGGACCAGGCTTAAAAAATACACTGGGCCCAGTGCAGTGGCTCACATCTGGAATCTTAGCACTTTGGGCAGCTGAGGCAGACAGATCTCTTGAGCCCAGGAGCTCAAGATCAGCTGGGGCAATGAAGGGAGACCCTGTCTCTTCAAAAAATACAAAATAAAATAGCCAGGCACAGTGGCTTGCACCTGTAGTCCCAGCTACTTGGGAGGCTGAAATGAGAGGATTGCCTGAGCCTGGGAGGTCAAGGTTACAGTGAGTCATGATCGCACCACTGCACTTCAGCCTGGGCAACAGAGCAAGACCCTGTCTGTCTCTCTCTCTCTCTCTCTCTCTCTCTCTCTCTCTCTCTCTCTCTCTGTCACACACACACACACACACACACACACAGAGAGAGAGAGAAAATATAAATA